CATTAAATTCCAGTGAAATATATTTATGTTTGTGGTTGTAATGTGACAAAATATGGAAAAGTTCAAGGGGTATGAATACTTTTGCAAACCACTGTAACTTGCAAAGTAAATTTAACCATTTCTTAATGATCAGTCATCAAATGATACTTTCAGGTACTTAACTAATTACTGTAATTTTGACACTCAAATCTTAGTTTTTTTGTGTATGATGCTTCAAAAAATGGGAAATGAACTGACGAAAACATAAAAAGTTGAGAGCGAAATCTACCAATTTAATTCAAAGGTTGGAAGTAACCAGAGTAGGGTATAAGAAAAAATTGCAAGTTAATTATATTGATCAAAGSGGTCAGGAGGCCTTTCAACAAACCTTAACAGTCATTTTAAGGAAGAAGAAATTCTAAATTGAAATATGTGTTGAATAATCACCCAGCTTTCACCTTTTTTATTTCAGGTTCAGACCACCACCATGTGCATCTCTGTCAGTCTGAGTGGTTCTGTGGTTCTCGGCTGCCTGTTTGCCCCCAAAATCCACATCATCCTGTTCCAACCCCAGAAAAACGTGGCCTCACTCAGAGTCACAGCAAGCCGCTTCAGCGCCACAGTTTCTACGTCTGCTTCTGCTCCCAGCTCCAGCTACTCTAAAGGTGCTCACATGAGTTTTTTTTTATTTCTTTCTTTCAAATTAAAGCATACTGTTGATCTCCTCTGGAAATTTAGATATTGTTTTCCTTAGCTCAAAGAAGTATTTTCTACAGTCATTCGTGCTATCCAAAATTTTTATTTTTCAAGAATTCTTCTTCTGGTTCTTTACCTGACTTCTTTAAATATGCAATTAAAAAAAGCCTAATGGCTTTAAGTAAGTGTATACCACTCACCAAGATGCCCCTTCTATCTACGGCTGTGGTGAAAATAATTGATGCACAATTGCTATAATTTAATAATGACAACAATGTTTTTAAGTTTCCACTTTGGTTTAACAAGCACATCAGTACAGAAAGCGTGCTTGTTAAAGTGACYAATAACCTTGTACTGAGTGCTTAGGAGACAGCTTAATTTTAGTTTGTTCAAACCTAAGTGCCATATTCAGTTTGGCAAACCACAGAATTTAGTAAAAGGTTTGTGCAAAGGACTTAATTAATTGTATTCATACCTTTTGAAATTAACATTTTTCATCAAAATAAAATATATACTGTACATATACTCAGTGGCTCGTTTGAGTTGTGGTGTACCTCAAGGGTGAGATCTTGTCCTCTTATTTTGCAGTTTTTATAAGTCCTTTAGACAAGCGTTTTCAAATCTGTGGTGTATTGTACCATTTTTATTTTTGCAGATGTCGTTCAACTTTACCTGCTTAAAAACAGCAGCTCGTATACTCGATCACTAGCAGTCAACGATGAGTCAGAGGTCTTTTTGTTCCTGTCTTTCAGTCATTTACTTACAAAAGTTTACACATGAAGTGCAAGATCATTTTAAGATAATGATAAAAAGTGCAAGATTGAAAATTTCAAATCACAAATATATAAATCAAAGGTTTAGGCCAATGGGATACATACATGAAAACACCACGCATGTATCAACATAAAGATACGAAAAATAATAATATTTTTTTCATTCTGGGATAATGCCTTCCCTGTTTAAAGTAATTTAAAAGCAGAAGTGGAACTCTGTCTTGTGGTCTGATAAATCTGCATTTAAATTTCTTTTTGAAAACCATGGATAGCATATTTTCTGGGCAAAAATAAAATAAATAAAATAAAATAAGAAGACGAGGGGCTGCATTTGTGATGAAACGGGGAGCATTACAGCACAGGAACACATCTGTGAAGGCAAAATTAACACCGAACCAAATTTATGCTGTCATTTAGGCAGCGTCTACTTAAAAAAAATGTACTTCTTTTGACAGAGACTGTGCCAGACTATGTGACAAAGAAGTTTTAGAAAATATAAACATGTTTTTCCCAAGGCTTTCATTTCATATCTGCATTTTTATGCTAAAAAAGGGAGAAAGAAACATGGGTGGAAATTTAATTTAGCACAAAATATCCATAATGCAAAACTATATATCTGCATCTAAAAACTCATTATGTGGCATCTCATTTGTGTAACATGTAGACAATAATGGGTTTCCAGACTGTGAGCTGAGATTTAAACAAGTCAGCGCTCTCAGCCAACCAACCACCCAGCCAAGAAATTGCCCAGCCGATTACAAAAGAGAAAAATTTTGTTTTAATTAGTCAACTATACAGGGTTCTGATGGGTGGATTTGTTACATTAGTTCAGGAATCTTTCAGTTTCAAGTAATACAGCTTGGAAGACTGGATTTCAGAACCAGAGTAACTAATCAGCAAAGTAAAATCCTGACATTCAGTATTGTCTAGCTTAAGAAAATTAAGGACATTTGAACTGAAATTCAATTAAGAAAGTACATTTTCTACTTTTATCTCTGGTTCACGGTTTTACTTATTTTCACAGAGAAAAAATATAAAACTCTGGCCTGGCTAACATCACAACTCTTTTCCTCTCAGGATCAGCCTCTAACTACGTGCCAGCAGTGTGTAACGGCCGCGAGGTGGTGGACTCCACAACATCCTCTTTGTGAGATAAAAAAAAAGTTCCTCTCTAAGCACAACATCGGTCATCTTTCCATCAAACAGGACCCTGAGTGATGGACCGACCTCCCCCAACATCATCTCACATGTTGCAGCGATAACTGTCAGGGGAAAGTGACCGGCGGCAGCGAACATAACTAACTGTGAAAATTAATTGATGTTCCTACATCCAGCAGTATGTATCAACTGTAAAGCCTTTTTTGTATAGATTTTAAATGCTGTGATCTCCTTGGTTTACAGATAGATGTGATTACTTGCTCCGTGCCTTGTCCTAAAGAGTCTCATCGTCAAATGGGTGGTAATAGTGTAATACAAAAAGGCTGTTTTTTTCCTTTCGTCATAACAGTGCTGTGAATATATCCTGATGTTATAAACTTGCTAAAAATGCTATGAAATAAGTAACATTACTGTTAAAATGTGATTAATTACAAGGAATGAATAAAACTAGGCAACTAGACACTATAAAGTATGTGTTACTGTAGACTAGTGTGTTTTTCTTGTAATTTATGTAAATAAGATGTTTTCTAATTAAAAACACTCAGTTCTAATCTGTGCAGACTTGCAATTCGTTTGTCTTTTGCTGCCTGCTCAACAAAATATCAGTAATTATTAACATATGTGCAATTTTACATATAGGATTTCTATAACTTTTTGTGACCCATCATATCAAAATGAGGATTAAGTAAAATTTGGTCAAAATGACAATTACATTTTCAGATTCCTGGCTTTAAAAAGCAACATTTTGATACCTGGATCATGCTAATATCAAAAGTGGATCCAGAGATATTAATTTGTCTTGTTGGTTACGATAATACTACAATATTTGGTCTGAATCCTAATTTTATGTAATTTTAATGAGTATTTTTTAAATGTCATTATAAAGAAAAAAACTTCAAATAGTATTTGAATATTGAGATTTCCCAGGAAAGAAACAAAAAACATTTCTAGCTCACAGGGAAAATCTCAAAATTTTAAGTTTTTCCTCAAAATCATTTTTTTTGTTGCTACTGCCCAAAAGAAAAGCTTCAAATTTTTGTTTTATGATTATATTTCAGACAGTTCATTCAAATGATACAAGGCATCTATTCATTATGTTTTGACAAAATGCAATTTTTGCAAACATTTTAATTAAAACACCATATTTGCATATTTCTCCACAAACCACTTTTGGACTTAATCCTCATTTTGATTTGATGGGTCACATTCAACTAAGTCAAACTTGTTGACTTTTGTTAAAAACGTAATTTTCCTCCTGCATGGTCATTTCTCATAAATTAAACTTACATTATCAWCTCCAGTCCATCTATTAGTCATTTTAATTATAAAAATAAAGGCCACCCTAAGTGCAGAAGCAGAAAATGCTGTTAACACTTCAACAAGGTTAAGAAGGCTCCCAGGAGGATGTCTCAGGGTGTTTACAGAAATAAACATCTTCTCTGAAGTGCTCCATTCTGCAGAGGCATCATCAAAAGCATCCTGACCTGGTCTATTTCAGTGTTGGACCCTGGCTCCTCTGTCCACACTGAACATCAACTTGATCAGTAAACTGACTTGAAAACACCAACAGCTGATGATGGAGCTGCTCGGTGCCGGGGTCATGAGACGAGCTTGGAAGATAGCAGAGGACTCGAGCCACCTGGCAAAACTGTTATAAAAACTGCCTTTTGGCCAAAGGTTCTGAGCTGTCATTAAAAAAAAAACAAAAAAAAACCCAGCAGATACAAAAATAGTCCCCCCCACAGCAATCTCCTTTTTTAATAACTTTTTTTTTCCTGCACTGAAACCAGGTGAAATTCCTGTGTACAGATCTCTAATTTGGGAAATAAATGTTTCTGATTGATGTACTTCTAACACAGCATAAAAATGCTATATATTAACTGAGACTTTAGTTTATTTGCAGGTTACCAGGCAAAGCCTTCAGGAATAACACACATATCTTTTAAAAGATAACAGGTTTTTGATACTTATGTTCTGTTGATTTCAAGTAAATTACTAACTACGTAAAGAACAAATAAGGGAATCTTTAGTTTAAACTTTTTAAAAAAAAAAAAACTATCATTAACCTCAACAGGAGAAATATCTATGGAGGGAAATAAAAAAGGTCTTGGTTCAACTCTTACAGTGCAGATTCTGAACACGTCTTGTTTATCCAAGGACCCAATTTAGCCACAATGCTTTATTTCTGCACTGAAAAGGAAGCTGCATTTCTACAAAAACAATGGCCACAGGAGAAGCTTACAGACCTATATGAACTCTTCACACACTGCAAAAGTAATAATAATAATAATGATAAAAATATTTCCCCTTTTTYAAAACATTTTATTTACAAATGGGCATTTTATTCTTCAGTCATCTTGATTTTCTTCTGCATTTTGAGGTTTTCTTTTCAGCGGGATAATATAAATCCCATTTTTGGCTTCTTTTAGTCGCCACCATCGCCCCAACCTGTAAACATAATAAAATTACGTCATCTAAATAAGAATCTAAATCATCTAAATAGTTTGTTTTTTGCTGATAAACGTGATCACATCAAACTTAATTTCTAAGGTTYTCTTCAGTGAACTAAAGTATTTCCCTTTCGGTGATCCACTCCTTGTTTAGAAGAAAACTAAGTCAGATGTAGTTATCCGTAGCAGGAATGGATCAACACTGCCATCTAGTGGAAGGTCATTTTCTCCACATAAACTTGTACTGATTTTCATTAATTGTAGGACCCCTGCAGTTTCCATGGAAACACGAGCATTAATGTTGTACCTGTGCTCCTGTCCGACTCCAGCCACAAGGAACTGACCAGAGCTCGAAAACTTCAGAGTGTTGATGAAACCGGACTAGAAAGGGAAGGCAAAAGACAAAAAGTGACTGTTTTTAGTGGCTTTTTGCATTTTGGTTCCAGAGATTTATTATAAGGGATTACAGTTTGGTAAGATAACAACTATCACTTCTTTTCTACAAACAGAGGATGTTTACCACTGGTACAGTGAAGAGAAGCTCCAATCCACGATAGTGCTGACCACATTTCCACACGCTCACCTGGGAGTTGTGAGAACCTGTAAAAAAATTGGTTTAAAGGGATCCCTGATTAGTTGTAACATTAGACTTTATYTGATAAACATTTATTTTAACTGTAAAATAATGACTGTAAAAATATTGTAGGCTGTTTATTTTTATGTTTTTTAAAAATATATTTTAACATGGATGGAGCCATTTATTTACACACAAAGCATTCTGGGTAAATGATGACGTGGCTAGGTCCTCGGTGCGAGGCTGCTAGTGAGCTATATCCACCCTGAAGGTTAATCTTGGACAATATCTGATGATCGRCTCTTTTAAATRAAACCAGAGAGCGTTGACAGAGAGGAGAWGGTAGAAATGACTCAGCCTGGAACTGAAAATATGGATGGAGGACAACAGAGCTGCTTCATGGAAGGAGAACCTCAGCCTAGCCTGTTAGCCTTCGCGCTAGCGCTGACGCTATATTGCCTTATACTGTATGTATTAGCTCGGTGCTAGCGCAACAAACAAGCTAACTGAGGTCCTCCATCCATATTTTCAGTTGCAGACTGAGTCATTTTTGCATTCGTCTCTGTCATGAGGATGGAGGACCTCAGTGACGAGAGGAGAATGTGTAGCGCTGAGCTAATACATATATATGGTGATAGCGTCGGGGCTAATGCTAAAGCTTATAGGCTAAGCTGAGGTTCTTCTTCCTTGAAGCAGCTCTGTTGTCCTCCATCCATATTTTCAGTTACAGGCTGAGTCAATGAAATGATTGTAAAGATTGAAGGAAAGGGTGCCGTCGGTATGATCTCGTGTCAGAAAACAAAAAGCTTGTGAAGAGGGCTCTCACAGCCAGAGGCACCTGAGGCGACGGTATCGGAGTTCTGAAGGGCCGMGACGGAGACCACCCAATGAGGCTGCTCCAGCCCCGGGTTGCCGTGGCAACCGTGAGCCCGCTTCACYGTGCAGAGAGGCTTCTTCTTGTTGACGCCCCAGAGAGACAGCGAGCTGAGAGTRTGCAGAAACGAACGGGGGAAACATGAATGAGTCTGTGTGCACWAAGAGATCCTGGACGAAACAATAAAGTGGAGCATTGATAAAGGGATCAAGGGCAGCTCTTACCCATCATCCGCTCCTGTTATCATGTGCTCTTCATTTATGAGCTGGATACAGTCAATCGAACCTCTGAGGGTCAAACAGATGAAGTCGATGTAACACATTACAAAAAGCATTTTTTTTTACAAATGTATTCATCATTAAAAGGTAATGGATTACACGGAAAGACTACAAGCATGGTTGTGTTTGTGTGTATGACTCTTTGTCACAATGTGAACAAATACAATTCAATTCAGTTTATTTATAGCCTTGCTTTGACTCATTCATGCATGTTTGAGAAATCCTGCAGCGTTTTTAGGCAGCCATGCTGAGGAGCAAAAYAACAGGTGGGGACCAGAAACACCCCTGGGTTGTGTCCTTTTGGGACAACCTCCTCCTCTGGGATGTGTCTCCAAGCCGAGCTTCCTCATCACGGAGCACACCTCCCAACCCCACTCATGACCCCTGCAGGCTCTCGGCAATAACAAAAGCAAGCAACGGGTGAAACTGAAAGTGAAACCTAACTGTCTGCTGAGCTCCCAACATTAGTTCTCTCTCAGTGAAGCTCTTTTCAGATTCAAAATACCTTTGAGGAAATGTATTTTCAGATGCCAAGTGCATTATAATTTCAAGAGACTAAACTGTGCAAAACGTTTTATCAACTTCAAAACATTGACTAAAATCAGATAATGTTAAGTAAAAAAGGATAAAATCAAAGTCAGTCGACAGAACCCGGTGTCTTYCACCTCTGTGAAAAGCTGATCAACTAGCCCGATGAATAAAACTATTTATGTGCTTAACTTTCTGATTATCATGCTCATACAGGCGAGTGTTGGCACGTGTGGGCTGCGCTAACTGTTGCTGCTCTCTGATTCTTCTTTTCATTCCCTACAGTGAGCCTGCATGTGTTGCAGGATGCAAACTTTACATCACTCTCAGACAGTGTAAACGTTCCACACAGCAGACATATTTGTTTATGATTCGCTCCCCACACGAGCCTGCATAATGTCTTCACACTGTGAGGCATGCAGGATGAAAAGGGTACAATACACTGCACACAGGGGGCTTCTGCAGGCTGCAAATATGAGCTACAGGTGATCAGTTTTTGTGATTGCTTAGACAGAAAGCGTCAATCACATATTTTTCCCACTAAAACTGGCCAATAATGAAAGGTGGCCGACAGATCGAAACACTGCTACTGTAAACCAAATATGTTTTTGGTTTTAAGCTGCATTTTTCAATTTCTGACATCACTGTTGTCATCAACAAACAAGATAAAGAAAAATGAGCCATAGAGGAAAAGAAACTCACTCGTGTCCGTGAAACACCAGCTGAGACTCCTCGGCTATCTTCCACACTCTCACAGTGCCGTCCCGCCCGCCGGCAGTCACACAGCGCTCACGGCTCAAACTGTCCAGTCCTGTGATTGAATCCTGATGGCCAAAGCTACAGAAATTCACAATCCGTTTAATTCAAATCTTGTTGAAATAGCATGAAAACCAATAACTTTTTCCAACCAGTTACTTACAGGGTTTCCACATACGCATTCTCGTCTACGTTCCACACCTTTATTGAACGATCGTGAGATGCACTGTACAGATCATGAGTCCCCTTCCTGAACGAAAGACCCTGAGTGGGAAACATAAAAATACTACTCATCACAGGATGACCAGATTTCAAATTCTGGAAGGAGAAAAGCTATATCCACAAAACTTACCGACACAGGTCCTTTGTGTCCAGTAAATTTGTACAGATGTTTACAAGTTTCTGCCTCCCAAATCATGATCAGTTTGTTCATGTCTCCAGTGGCCTAAAAACGTCAAATGTGACATCATAGTTGAGTCAGTTACCTGTGACTCACCACTGATGAGAAGAAAAAGATGAGAGAGCATCCTCACCAAATATTTTCCATCTGAGGATATGGCCATRCATAGAATGTGAGCCGTGTGTCCTACGTGGCGTTCCTCCGTACCTTTCCTTCCTCCATGGATTGTGTGCAGCTTCCTACCACTTTCAATGTCCCCTGAAACATAGTAAAAACACTAAAGTAAAAGCTTTGCAAACACAAAACTAAAGAAAATACARGAAAAGAAGAGTGCTACAAACTAACATTTAATGATTGAGCAGTCTTTGGCAGCAGAGAAGATGCTTTTGTCATTAGGCGTGATGACAAGACATGTAACTGGAAGTTTGTGTCCCCTTAACACTCTAATCTCTGAAGCATCTGGAGGGATGATCTATAAGAGAGAAAGATCAAGTAAAATCAAATTTGTCACGCAGCAGAACACAAGTGAAAATTCMCATACTTACATCTTTGGCGATAAGACGCTGGAGTTTTCCCTTCTGTTCAAGCTGATGTAAAAATCACATGAWAAAAAAAAGATAAGTTACACAACAATAGCAACAAATCACGCAAAAAAAGAAAGAAAAAAGTATATTAGCTCTTGTATCTTCTACACCAACAGGAGATGCTTCTCACCACTTCTTCTTGTAGCCTTCCTGCGATCAGATCCGTCTCAAAGGAGTCATATTCAGCCTTTTTTTCCTCTGTTAAGAACAAACAATCTGTTAAAACATCATATCTTACAGTGCAATGTTACAAAAACAAAGCTACGTATGCAAATTTACCCTCTTCCTTTAACTGATCAAGGTAAAGTTTAGCTAATCTGAGCTTTTTCTCCTGAGGTGTCTCCTCATACTCCAACTCCTCTTTGGCCTGCCTCTTCTTTGACACAGCAGGACTGCAAAACCAAACACAAGACAGTCACGTAGTGTTTTCCAAGATTGTAACTCTGTACAACATCTAGATTTTATTTGAAAGGAGGAGCACACAAACGCACCTCTCTGTCTCTGAGTCACTGGAAATCTCTTCGTTGTGTTTGTTGGGTTTTTTAAATTTGCTCTTTCCATCGGAGCCACCGTCAGCCTTTAAAAGAACATACAGAAAACAATTTCCAATGGCACAATGGCACGCTTGGTAAGTGTAAAATAAATAAGCTTGGAGGTTTGCTAACGTGACTTAGCTTGCTCGCTAAAAGTTGGTTTGTCTTACCTTCCTTTTTGACGCTGCTGTGTCTTTCCCTTTTTGGGTTAATTTAGGGTTTGYTTTTGTCTTAATAAAGAACGACGAAGACATGATAGCATGTAAAAAATGTTTTCAAATAAACTAGAACTGTAAAGCTCTCCAACTTTCTTTTAGCAATTCACATAAACCCACATGTCTTCCACGATCAAGCTGGAAGTTCATGCCCGGTGAATCCGCGTTTTGATTAGCTAAGAGACACGTCAATTTTCAAACATCCCGCCTCTTTTCATAAATTCTCAATTTTGATTGGTTAAACCGTCAAACAGGGATGAACAGGAAACTGTACTCGGGTGAAATGCTTCCCACGGGAACTACTTTTTCACAGCTTTGTTCCACACATACTTGTAAGAAAATATTAATTTAAAATAACAGCGGCCGTGGACAAATGAATACAACCCACAGCGAAACATAAAATTGAGCTCAGTTTTTCAAGCACATTTGAATGAAAATATTTTGCCCGGCTAATGAGATATTGTCGTAAATATATCAGGACCTATTTACTGTAATACTGGAGTAGTACTACTACTTCCTCTACTACGCAGTATTTTCATGTACTCCGCTGTCTTTGTCCTCACTGAGTGCTTGTGTTTTTACTTTACCCTTGCAGGCAGTCTGAACGGCTAGGTGAGCGTGTTTTTCTGTGCTGTTTAATGTTGAATGTGAGTTAGATTTGATAAGATGGTGTAGTTTGAATCACAGCTTGGCTCCAGGCAGCTGCTGGAGGTTAGGAGGAGGAGGAGGGGGGTTGAGGAGGAGGTAGTGTTTGATGTGAACGGGGGAAAAAAATAGATACTAAATTAAAAAGAAATGTATCCGTGCTGTGTAGCGTGAATTTTTTTTAATATTAACAAAAAAAGCGGATCGTCTATTTAAACAAAAAAAGTTTAACTGTACGCCCACAGCTGTTCAGAAAAACAGAGCTTCAGCTTGTTTTCGTTTTGTTCTTCTTCCTCAAGAGTTTTTCTTTTTCCTTTCTGATGCCACCAAAAAGAAATTGTGGAACAACAAGTCCATCAGAACCACAAGTGAAGATGATAAAGATCGGTGGGGATCCAGATGTGCAGGATTTTCACTCTGGATCAGCGGACAGATTCAGGATGGCAGAAGAGTCCAGCTCCTCTCCTCCTCTTCCCAACACTGAGGTGCTTCAAATGAAAGCGACAGCAGGACGGTGTCAGTAGAAATGATGTGTAAAATTAGCTGTTCATGTTTTGTTTTGTTTTGTTTTTCTCCTCTTGTTTGGCAGCAGGAAATCATTGACTTTGATGAAGACAATTTTTCCGCTTCAGGCGTCAGAACAGACACCATCAGCCTTCTGATGAAAATAGACCAACTTCAGGCACAACTCAAATATGAACGCAGATGTAGGATTTTGGCAGAGAGAGAACTGAGGGAGCTCAGAGGTGGGTAGATACACAACTAATCAATAATCGAGAAATACATGTGCAAATATAGTATATTCACTAGCAGCCTTATCTATATCTATATCTATATCT